TATATATATATATATATATATATATATATATATATATATATATATATGATCGAGCATGAAGCTACATTGGAGGAGGAATAGGTGATTATGCTCCAGAGCTATACATCAATCTATGATTTTCAACTGCTGCTTTTATCTGCAATGTTATAATTAATATTTTGATTAGGGCTTTTCAAGTATCTCACTGGTATTAATGTACCGGTTTATCAGTGTTTACAAACAATAATGTTAAAAATGATAACCGATCTCGTTTACTATTCTAGGTTATTTATGGGACGCATTTTCATTGAGCATCTCGGAGGACAAAAAATTATTCACTGCCAAAAATGTGAAACTCCTCTATCTAATCGGAGCGAAATTTTGAGCACGCGATTCACCGGTGCAACAGGTCGTGCTTTCTTGTTCAACCGTGTTGTGAACATTGTCTATAGTGATATCCAGGTGAGTCTGTGATTGTCCCTTATAGAACTCCCACCTACTCGTTTAGGACCGAGTCATGCTAACTGGGCGTCACTTTGTTCGCGATGTGGTATGCATTAAGTGTGGCACCAAACTCGGCTGGATGTACGAACATGCACTGGAAGAGAGCCAGCGATACAAAGAAGGCAAAGTGATTCTGGAACGCGCGTTGATCATGGAGACCGAAGGTATAGCGGACCCCCTGGGTGAAAGTTATTAAAGCTGTTGAACTCAGGTTGTTTCCTCGCGTTTTTCTCTATCGGACCTTTCACAGAACACTCATACACACGCTTTCTCATCAGAACTGTCTTTCTTGATTTACATGAACGATAATATTTGATTTTAACACTGTTCCATACTGTTGTATCTTTCGACCTTACTGCTGTAATATACGCTTGATATCTTTCATGATGTGTTCAAGTATCGTTCGCTTTTATATCAAAACGTCGCGATCCACTAAAGAATGTACTATCCCGAATTTTCTTAGTGAATGGCATATAAGATCTGCGTTCAAGCAATGTTTTCTATTTTTATTGGTGATAGTCGAAGTGTTGCTTTATACTACCCATCTTAAATATTGGGGGATTTCATCATCACAAGAAGATATTGGCCATCAATTTCGTGTGCTCTCGTTCAGCTGTAAACGCACATTTATATGATCATGTAAAACGAAGAAACATAAGAGTTGAAATGAGCCATTTGAACAAGGTGGTGGACAGGTGAGTTACGTGATTTGTGTTTGGTCTGGGGTGGGAAGTTAGATGACAAAATTTGATATGGAGGTGAACTGGCCCAAACGATGTGGCGAATGTGGTGGAGGGAAGGTCATATCATGTCAAGTTATGGTAGGGTGGTATCGAGTGTGACATCATCACTACCACAGCAACAACAGTTGCGTCATAAATGTTTTTTGAACACAACTGCAGTTTCAAGTGATGACTTATTATCGTTTCTAAGAAACGCAAAGTCCGTGAACTTCGAGGCCTCGCAATAACTCGAAACGCTTTGGGTGCGTCTACATGGTGACCGGAATCTAACAAATGACTGGCAATCGCACTAAATGATAGTTTCTCTCCGCGAAGGTGTTCCGGAATATGTTCACACATTCTAGTTGATAAATGCCGTTCTGTCCTTCCAATGTACCGCTGACCGCAGGTACATTGAAATAAATGTATGCAGTTGGAGGTAANNNGCGATAAGACGATCACATAATTACTCCTCCAGCCTGTCTCAATCGCATTTCTAAGCTTGTTTGTTCAGCAACAAGATAAAATTTTGACAAGGCGTCAACTCGGAACAAACCCAAGAATGGAATTTTACCCACTCAGTAACTGGAAAATCAACAGGACTCGCTTGGGCAACGAGCAATTGTTTCAGAATTTGAAATGGTTATTTTGCCGGATTGTCGGGGAAGGTGAGTTAACTCACAAGTAGAAGCAGATAGAGAAGTTCAGGGAGCGCTCGTATTTATGATCATCCAATATTACTCAACCAAGATACAGAATGAACTGTCGGAATTCCGTAGCATTCTATTGCTCAAAACCATCAAATCCCCGGCAATTTGATAGTTGATGGTTGCATCAAATGATCAACGTATATTGAAATAGTAGCTATATTTGAATGCGCGCCACATGGACGGGTGCGGAAATTTAAACAAAACGTTTCCAACAAGCAAATAAAGCATTGTCTAATTTTGCATAAAATCAATAACGTAAAATATTTATATCTTAAATAGTATTTGTGGATAATTATACAACATTTACACCTAAAAATCAAAGCACCACGTTAGTCATTTGGCGTTAGCAGCATTTCTTCAATAGAGGACGCTCTTCCTTCCCAACGACCGCGAGAGGTAGTACGGCCTGCTCTGCCGTAGGTTGTACCAGAGCTCGAAACGTTCGAACCATTCTTCAGTCTCGGACGACTGTGAATGTAGATTTGAGATAGTGCGCAACTCCATGTCGCCCCGCTGATTTTAGTATTCGGAATCGGATAGCGCGAACTCAGATTCGTAATGAAAACCCACTAAGTAGCGCAAGGTCGCGTGGAACCAAGACAAGCTGTGCATACAGATAATTCAATTCACAAAATCACTCAAATTAATAACAAGGGTAAAACAATCCTCCATGTCAAATCGACAACGGTATAGCTCATTTGGTGGTCTTGCATTCAGCCAATCCGATTGATGCTACTCAAGACCATAGGATTGGTTGGGAAATCCTTTTTCTGATTGGCTACCGGGAGGCTATATTGTGGGGCTTGCCTACTTCGTTGCACGACCATCACAAGTTGGTTGTTTACCATAACGTTCTGATAGGTCTGTTCCCTTGAGCGCAAAGCTAGTAATCGTATGTTTACGGATACACAGTTCCTTCATGATCCACGCACTGTTTTGCAGTATACGAAAGCGGCAGGATACATGTCCTGTAACCCGAACACAGCTCTGTGGCTACCTCGGGTCCGAAGCTTCCATTCGTATGATACAGATAGAAGTCCAAGGTAAAGAAGAACTGGCTGTGATCCGGTTGTTGCTTTGGTGCCATGCTGTGCTGTAAGCCTAATAAGAGGAAGTATATCATTATGGGAGACTGGTTCTATGATAGACGAACAGTCGGTGGTATATGGAGGCAAGTAATCTTTAGAAAGATGATCGGTTGCAACATTGAGGCTGTCCACATCATTAAGTTCTTTTATTGACAATTTCTTCTGACCACACTAACCTGATCGCTTGTCACAACCGCCTTCCATTTTAAACTCCTAGGACTTGCCTTGCGAACGAAGCATCCAGTCTTCTGATCTCCTTATTCACAAGGGGATCTGTTTGACGGTGATTGTTCGGTGCAACTTAATCGCTTGCTCTTTTTGTCTTCCTTGGGCGTACAACAGTGGGGAGCTTTCTCTTCCAGTGTGAGCGTAAATTGTTTCCATAGGACAGCACACATCGAAAATCACGTTCACTGTGTTAGTAATCTGATAAGCGAAACGCAGAGATTGTTGAAAAGAAAAACCAAGAGATGAGAGCGGGATCCTTCTTCAGGAGAATGATTCTGCTGGTTGAAAGATTCTGTATTTATGTATTCAGTGAAGTTTTCTGGATGAAAGCGTGATGTGACAACCGATAGTGAGCTTTTGGAGACAGTTTTGTGGTGAGTCAACACTTCCAGATGACGGTAACTAAGCCCCTACGCATTGCAATTTCTGGACTACGAACCACAGGCCAACCTTGTTGACCAATCAGAAGTCGTGCGGTCTAGTCAGAACCTGTATGATATCAAGAATACAAGCAGGCGATTGGTGGTTGCCTGTATGGCCAGTAAACTTCCTTTGTACATTTAATTTAATTTATTGATTTCTTTCAATAAATTAACTGCTACTTCTGTGGCCTTTTTCGGGCTTCTCGGTGACGGGAAACATTGGCTTNCGATTCAGTGTTCCATTTGCGTCCGTGATTCGTAATTCGTGATCTGGGCATATTTCAACTATCACAAGTTATCGCTAGGGGGATTGATGCCTTCAATTTGATGGAGAACGCTTCAGAGTGGTAATAACGGAATTTCTCCAATACGGCATCTCCTCTGATGGGTGTTAGAGAGAAGTCTGTCAGATCAAAAGAAAGTAAAGTTTGGATCCATGCTTAAACTTGTCAACAATTAACATTAAATCATCAACTAAGTAAAAATTAAAGGAAATAAAAGAATCGTAAAAATAGCTGCTTCCCGTTTTTGAACATAAAAGAGTAATGTAAAGATTGGTAACGATTGATCCTCAAAATGAAATAGTGAGGCATTCCCTACCAATAGGGAAGATGGTACACAGTGTTTTGGTATTGTCGTACCAAGTGAATTTGGTACAGGTTACTACTCGTGCTCCGATCTTTTTCCGGATCCTTTCTCTGTCTTGCCGAAAATTTCGAAACTGGATATGTTGACGAGTAAATGCTCCATGTTTTTGGTTCCAACACGCTTCCGTTACGTATGCCACGCATATATTTGCGTGCACGCAGTCTATTATGCTATCAGCGAGATTCGCCAATTGGATGCTGGAATTGATCAATAAGGAAGCAATTATCATCTCAGGAGATGTGCGCGCAAGATCAGTGTGCCACCCGAAATGCTTGTGCTTTTTGCTTCAGCCAGAAAATCCAGTTCTTATAAACTTATGCGAGCTGGATGATGCAACAAGAATAATTATGTCTTATTCGTAGGAATAATTTCATGGGGTACAAATGGGGTGAGAATCTAATGGAAAACACGAAATAAATTCTTATATGACAGTGAACACAAACACAGCGTAGTGAATCGAGGGGCACTGACTTGCTTGGCCGTATGTCCCCCTGATGCCTTGACAATCAAATCGGATCGTGTTCCGCTGATACCGGGGGATTATGCACGGTCGATTTATGGTTCGTATTTATCCAGATTCACATCTAGTTAGTGTTTCACTTGCATGTCACATTCGATCTTTGTGTTACCGCCATAAAAGCACCAACGGGATTTCTACCTTTCAAGTGCCGTCGTATGGGAAGGAGACTGAAGGGCGATTGTGCAACGAGTACGCTCACACCACAATATAGCNAGCCAATTAGGAAACGGAGTTACCAACAAATCCTGTGATCTCGAGTAGCTTCACTCGGATGGACCGAATGCAAGGAGGTAACCAAATAAACAATACCGTTGTCAATCCGATATGGAGGATCGTTTGACGCTTGTGATATTTATTTACATGATTTTGTGAATAGAATTAGCTGTACCCACAGCTTGTCTTGATTTCACCTGACCTTGCTCTCTTCAGTGGGTTTTATCCCGAATCCGAGTTCGCGCTATTCGATTACTATTTCGAATACCACATAGACTTGCTTCACACTGTCTGCTGGAGCATGGCGGGTGAAAGTTTACGTTTTACTTGGGGCAATGCTTATAAGCTACTGCTTTTCTGTTCTCGCGGGGTTTTGGGCACAGCTAAATCGATTAACCTGGCAATGAGATATGATAAACATCACGTGGTAGCACTTCTTCGTATATTGCTAAAGATGTCCAACTTTAATACATGCCAACGATTCATTTAGTTTTTGAATGAAGTAATCTACTGTTTGCGCAGAACTAGCGTACACTGGTATAGAATTGCAAATCCTGCATACTATGAGGGTAAAATTGACACCAGTGTTCCAATCGACATTTTCTAAGTACTAACTTTAGTGGGTACTCCTTGAGGTGGATGTTG